TTCGGTTCGAGGCTTCTTCAGACCGTAGCTAGTCCCCGGCCTGGATATTCAGCCCCCACCATCTCGGTCAAAAGCTTAATCATAAATCGATAAACGTGACGCATCGCGTACTTGAGATACGTCCGCCTCGTTGCTTTGTCTTCGTCCGCAAAACGATCATCCTGGTGAAATTTTCGAGGACTACCGGCAAACTTTCAGCCACCTCTACGATCTCGATTCGAGTTACAGGATGCTCGAGAGAGACGTTCTCTCCCTCTCTCGTCTTTCGTACCCACACGATTTTTCAATCCCCTCCTTCTATTTTTCTCTCTAATACCTGTAACAAGGTTCCACTCCATTTCCTCTCGATCGATTCCTCTTATTCGATCCTGGAGATCGGTTTCGTTAATTCGATTCGCTCTGGAAACGATTAAGTCGAGAACGGTTTATCGCCCCTCTAACAACACGGGAACGAAGAAGTTTTCATGAAATTGTCTCTTATAAACAAGATTACCGCGTGCTTAATCCCTCTTCGTTGCTCGAATCCGTGCAGCTTTCGTTTCTATCGGTTCGTCAAATGAGAAAGATCGTTCGAAATCACCGATCGCGAATTCCTGTAATCAACGAGATATCGCGTATTTCTCCCACTGTTTTCTCTCTGTGTAATTCTTATCGGAAAATTCCGCGAGAATAACGATTTTACACGCGAACGATAAAGCAGACACTTTTCACGCTGCTTCGTTTAATCGAGAATCGTTAGGGAAGTTTCGGCCGTGACGAAACGAAGAGCCCGATGGAACCCGAAAATGGCGGACTGGCTTAATGTTCCCCGTCTCTGTCGGTGGTCGGTCGGTTACTCGAATAATGGATTGCCATTAAAGCATCTACGTTAAAGAGGAAAGCACGAAACAGCTCGTCCACGATAGTCCCCACCTCTATCCCCGACTCATTAAGGAAAGAAATTTGTGCTGGCATTAAAAGTCGATCGAGGGAAACGGTATATTTCATAAGGGTGAAAGGAAGAGGCAGCAAGGTTTCGGGGGTGTAATTTGGAAATAAACGATCGAAACTCTGTGCATGGCCTTCTATGACCGTATAATTCTCCGAATTAATTATCAACCGGCCACTTTGCAGCCCCTTGCCGCTAACTTTCCCGATTAAACGCGAACTTTTCCGCTCCAAATAAATTTTTTCGAGGGAGTATTCTTCGTCTCTGCTGAAATCTTCAACTCTCGATTAATCTACCAGAATCTGACAAACTCTCAACGAGATCATTTTCCTTCTATTATTTCTGCAATTATAAAACCTGTTAAATAGAGAAACTCAATTTATCTCACTCGGTCAATTTTTTAAATTCCCCTTATCAAATCTATCGATGAAATTTCAACGATTCGAGGGTTTTAAAACATTGTATACAGGGAATAAGATTTCTGTATTCTCTAAATGTCATAAAAGTCCGCCAGACAGAGTAATTTTACCTTCGATGAATAATTCGTTCGAAAAAGCTTCTTTCGTAGCATTGTACTTCAAATAAGTACAAAAATTGCTGAAAAAGGAGCGATTAAAACCCGCGGAAACGTGGTAATTGCGACGGATCAAGAAAGAAAAACAAGGCGGTTGGAAAAAGGGGGAAGGCAAAATTTCAATCTCCCGCCATGTAATGCATCGTAACGCGTGCGTATGTGTACATATATGTGCGCATGTAGGTACATATATATACGCTGCTAGAACATTATGCAGCTGCTCAGTCGGTGAAGTAGTCGGTATAAGCCAGCCGGGGGTTCAACGACCGGTATAAATTAAAGCGGCGCTTGGATTTCAATGCCACGGCCTTGCTCAAGGCCGCGGTACTCGTAGAAAATCAACGGTACATTTGCGGCCGCGTTTGTAACAATAAATTGTACAAACACACGAGCCCCGTGCTCTGTCCCACCAGACGAGCGTATACGCGACTCGTGTGCTTCGATCGACGTCCAACGACCAATTTCCCTACCAATCCACCATCGATTTCTCGTCTTCGGTATAGCCTGGCTCGATATTTTCGATCCCCACTCTCTCTATCAAGTTGACCTTGGTTAAACAGAATATTTTGCCCTCGTGCTTTTCGCTGTTCCGTTGGGTCACTGGGTAGATGAAAATTCTTTCGCAATTTTTACCTTCGTTTGCAGCATTCGCGGTAAATAATATTTAATTTTTTGACGTTGAACAATTTTGCCTCTGTATTATTGGTTTTTTAAAGAGAGATTCTATGTGAATCTCTTTAACCCTTTCGCTGTGCGTGCTTGAGATAAAGAGTGATCGCTGCGCAGGGACGAAGTAGTTATTATTCAACGCGGATATAAAAATGAAGTGTTTCGTCGATCTTTCAGCGATCTTTTATTTGCCAAGTGTGAAAATTAATTAACAACTTGCACATGAGAGTTGCAAACGAGCGAACATTTTTACACAGCGCGTATATAGCGAAAGGGTTAAAGAGCGCCGTAAATGTCAAGCGTAACGAAATGAAATCAACGTTAGGTACATTGTACATCCTTGAGTATACAAATCGCCAGTTTACTCGGTAATTTTAATTTCACCGAAGCGGTATCCTCGGTTCTAATTGAAAAAATAAAATAAAAGCTCTGCTTCCGTAGGCCAGCGGCGTTATGGCGGCGCGGTTCAACCACCATTATTACAGGACGCGGGAACGTATAATGGACGATATTTAGGGTAATTCTAAGAGACGTACACTTGGAAGGATATCCGCGATGGAATGAAGACGGGGGGAGATCTAATGAAAATCGTTAGCACTTCGTGAAAATTAGAAAGTATCGACATCCGGCGGTTTCTCTTGCGCTAAACGACATTATCATAACAAGTTCCATAGGGGTGTGCACGGCCATTTATTTCGCGCTTCCTGTTCTGCGTACGCCAATCATTACCCAGCGTGGATGCAACCCAACACTTTAATTATTACCCCGGCCACTTCTCCACGACAGGCATAACTCGCCGCTCTTTTGATAATGCCAATTAAACGAGCCACCAAGACGATTTAATTGGCCAGACATTAGCGTTCCACGTTAATTGTTATCGTGGGAAAGCGATATCGTTATGGAGATCTGTTCCAACCTTATCTGCCACTTCTTTCTTTCCTTTTATAATGGACCACCCATCTTCTGCGCCATTTTATTTATTTATTCACTTAACCCGTTCACTATTACAAGTTTTATCGGAACGTTGAAACGAAGTTGAAAATTCACATGACAATATTTAATTAAAGGTCGAATTCTTGACACTAATCTATTCTTCCCATTCTCAAGATATTTTAATCATATGACAGAAAGAATTAATGGAAGATTCATTAGGGACCGCGTCTTGGTGAAAAGACGGGTTCTCTTGGTAATTAGGCGTGTAATTGACGATCAGGAAAAATATGAAAATTAACCCTTTCGCGTGCACAGTTTAATATAGTCAAAGTTTCACGTGGTACAAATAATTTTCTTCGTTCTATTCTTCGGCCATCGAGTAATTCCGTGGCGCGCTATAATGGCCAGAGGAGGACGATCGTTTATTTTCCATCATTCTCTACCTCCATTGTACCCGATATCCTTTTTCCCCTCTCGTCTCGACGATCAGCTTTTCCTCGCGCGTTTCGTGCTTTTCACCGGCGTTCCCTACGCGCGCCCGGCATTACTGTTTTTGGCGTTTATTAACGGGCTCGAGTAACGAGAGCGACATATCAAGCCGGCCAGCTAATTATCTCTTCGTTTTCTGAATTTACAAATATTTTTCAGCGACACAGCGCACGTATTTACGTGCGCTGCGTGTACCGGGCTCTCTGCGTACCGAATTATCGTTATTACACCGGCTATATTTAATTCCGGCAGGTAAATCAATTGGGTATGACGCTCGCGGATAATTGCTTAATTAACTCGAATTGCCGACGGGGGTGTGCACGTTTCGCGAATTACACGAACGCGAATCAGAGTGCTCGGTAACGTTTGCTCCAAATGTTGGCAACCGAAATTCGAAGGTCTCCTCCCCCCTTGTTCTTCGAATATTCGCGGTGTAGTTGGGAATTTTCGTGGGAAATTTTTAATGAAAATTTCTAATTAACACGCTGATTATTCTTATCGCGGATATATTCCAACGGTGGGATTGAAAGTGGAATAACTTTCGACGATAACCTGATTGGTAACCGGGGGTACCAAGTTTATATCTGCGCGAAGTTGATACGTAATTGACTGAACTTGAATTGCTCGTATTCCACCAAAGACAGGTCCATAGAGGCGAGGTTGTGCTCTTGTTGTACTTACAGCGGTTGAAAGAGGTGTATAGAAGAGGCGAAGTTTATTCCAAGCCTAATCGAAAGTCAACCTCCGTCGTCATTACCGCACAGACTCATTGATCGTTCGCAAGGTAGCTCTTCATGCGTTGAAAGTTCCAACCGTAAGTTGGCCCGTTATCTCGAAAGGTTGTAACGTCGTTGTAATACCGGTTGCAGTAAATCCTAAGATTAGGATCCTCCGTCTCTCTCTTTCTCATTTGTACGAGTCGGCGTTGACTTTTTTTTTACCTTTGCAACAAGTGGTAATATCTCTGCTACTTGTTCGTTTAGTTAATAGTCAATTGATCGTGGAAACGGCTGTAATTTTCACGTTTCTCAACGAGTCTCATTTCTTTCCGATAATTATCCCCACGTGAAACTGTGCAGAACTTCTTCTTGCGAAGCAGCCAGTGGTAAGTATCGATAAATTATTCATGAGGAAAGGTTGGAAAGATTAATCATCAACCTGTTGGTAAAATACACGAAATCATCGAGCTTCTTATATACACTTTGTTGCAACGAGAGAGAAGATTTACGCGCGACCATCGCGGTGTATTATGATAAACACACGCTGTGCGCGCGCGTGTACTTCCCTCCTGGTTTATTTTCCCTCGTTGAAGAGGGGGGGGAGAGAGCCTGGCGAATACGAAAATCTGTTCCAAGAACACAGAAGAGCACGTGTAATTGAACATGGCCGATTTGATTTTGATTGCAGCATACTGGTCTCGAGGCGACAGTGCAGCTTCGTCGCTTTTCGGCGGAATGTCGGGCGGATATGGGTTGGGGGCCCATCATTTGCCATCGGCTTACGCGATCCTGGGCCGAGGAGCCACCACTGCCGGATTCGGGGGCCACACACCGGCCTCCGCGCCACCGCCACCCCCGTACTCACACAGCAGCCTTGGTACTCTGAGCGTGGCTGCCAGCCAGGCTGCTAGCTTAGGTAATTCCATTGTTAATTATCCTGGGTAAATACTATGAATATTAGACCAACACTGTGCAATTGGATAATAGGATATTTTCGTAGAATTACGCGTGCGTGTGTACTCAAGCGATGGAATACACTTTATTCGAGATTTTTTAACCCTTTGATTGGAATTAACCCTTTGACGGTCTGATAAAATCACGAATAATTATATAATATCTCGTCCCTTTCTAACTTCCTTCCTAAGAGTCTCTCTTGAGTTGAACAGTTAGATGTTTGACTTTCTGTCCAAGTCTCACACGGGATAAACTGTCCAAGGGTTAGAACCTTAGGGGTTTTTTATGGCTGCGTGTTTCTTTTGAAGTTGAAGATAGAGTTCAAATTCATGTTTGTTATAACATCTTGATCATGATACGCATCACGAGTGCAATTCGTTATTATAGGGCGAAGGCTTCACGAGTCAAGTTATCGAGATTCTGCCACGATTTTCGCGACACTTCCGGTAGTCTGACAAAAAGATACATGTTTGCCGGAATATTTTAATCATCACTGAAGGTCTACACGATACGCAGGGTGAACATTTTCGTTGAGAGTCTATAGAACAGCAGTCAAAGGGTTAATTAAAAATTTCTCGAATTAGACGAGTATTTTTCACATTGCTCCCCCAGGTATCAATCCTGCTAGTGCAGCATGGTGGACGATGGCCTCACATTTAGCGGCACAGGACTACCTCGCGAGGTTACAGGGAGCGGCAGGACTGCCCGGATTTCCGCCTGGCGCAGAGAGCCTGCTGCCACCCTATCCTGCCTCTCTACTTAATCCCCCGTCCCTCTCGTCTCACAAGTCCAGTAAGTGTAAGTATCGTGAAATTTATCATATCTCATCCCCTTCCATTATTACCGAAAGTCTGTAAAATTTCAAGAATCTTCTATTGAGAATGATCTATTCTCTTCTCTTTTCTTTCTGTAATTTCACATGTTTGAATTCCCTTCCGATATTTCTCTCCCAGCAATAAAACAGTACAAACGAATGAACGATCATTTTGTTCCCTATGAACGGTAAAAGCTAAGTCAAGCAAGAGTCACAAGACGCCAGCGAGCAGTAGTAGCTCGACGACGCCGAGCATGACGAGCAGCAGTTTACCGGTGTCGACTCAAGCACCGGTCACGTCCTCTCATCACAGCACGTCGGCCAGCAGCACGCCGAATTCGCAAACGAACGTCGTCAGGTACGAGTGTGCACGCTCGTTAAATCGATGGTTTTTCTCGTTTTCATTATTTTTTAACAGACGCCCCGCGTCCGCAGCGCACTTACCGTTTCCCATTAATTATTTTTCCACGCTTGCCGATACACCTACAGTTCTGCGAAAGAGGGCAGGTGAGAGAGATCGTTAAGAATGAACCAACAAGAACAAAATAAATATTACATACATGTGTACATTATAATAGTGAGAAAATATTGTAACGACGAGACAAGGATAACGCAAAAGAAAGAAACACACACACGTACATACATAGACAGAATGAAACGAAAGAGATGCTCGGTACCGATCGATTTTTGTTATTCGCAATTCACGGGGCATTTC